ATAAAGAAAGTATTGTAAATACAGAGATTGGTTGAGGCTTTGATATATTTACAGCATTAAATTATAGGAGAATAAAATAACTAACAAAATTCAAAATGAAATAAAAAATAAAATGATAAAATGAAATGGGCGGTTGATATATATATATATGTGTGTGTTACCACTGTTCACGACACTTTGATAAAAATCCTTAAAACATGGAAAATTGATAATGTTTAGTAGTACAAAGTATTGATACGAATAATAAATGAATGTATACATATTATGACAAATCGTCAACTGTTCTATGTAGTGTTTATACATATAGTTTTTCACATTGTTACAACACCGAAACAATATTGTATTACCAAATAAGTTTCATCATTTGTACATGAGTATAATTGTACAAACAATATTTGTAAACACATAGAATGTATCATAAGATATTCATTTCCACCAACGATAAGTCAAATAAAAAAAAATCACTTGAAAACACGTTCGTGATATATTGTTAAGGTATTTTGACGATATAACTCAAATCAGCAAAAATTAAGACACAACGTTCATTAATTATTATGTAAATTTACGATCTTGACGCTGGATTTCTTATTCTGACTCTGGTTTATCTCGAACAGGCCATAGGAAACTCGAGTCCGAAAAATGTTCACCAAACCCGATCGGAGCAACAGCCATTATCGAACACATAATTCACTAGCCTTATGCGCTTGCATTGTTCTGTTCTAAGAGTCTATTTCTTACGAAACAATAAATAAGAAACAATACTTGAAAAAAATTTTTCAAAAATGAACAGCCACCCGTAAATTTGTATTACGTAACAGATGGAGAGTCACAAAGAGAAAAACTTAGCTGTTATGAAAAGTGAAAGAATCAATAACAGAAAATAAAATGTTGATTTTCCAACTGATCTATACTTTTACACTCTTTGAAATTTTTATATATTATATGAAAAAGGCACACTGTATGAGTTTTCTAAAGTGTACTAGCTACTAGCTCTCCTGTAAATGTAGAAGTAGCATATGGTACATGTTTCTTCAATGGAATTTAACCGGTTTTTGAAGAACAACAAAAAAAAAAATCGAGTGGAAAAAGGACTTGGCTGCATTCGTAAGAGAGAAAGAAAGAAAGAAGAAGACAGCACTGCAGAAGCTATTAAATCTTGTACTGATACACACAAAACAAGGAGCTAATGCATATAAATTAGTTGATAGAAACCACCATGTAGTTGCGAGTTTTTTTTCCAATAAAATTTAAAATCTATGTATGGTGTTTATGATTCGTTGGTTAAAAAAAAAAAAAAAAATTTAAAAACTAAAAGATCAAAAGTTGTCAAAGTTTCAATTAATCACAAAATAATTGATGTACTATAAAGTTATGAGATAATAATAACAACATAAAAACGTGAGTTACATAATGTAAATGTGATGTAAAACAAAGTACCCCACAACAAAATGATACACCTACTTAGACATAAGTGTAGTAAGAAAATATGAATGAAAAGTATATTGATATATGTAAAAATCATCGTCGTTTTTTCCGAAACCATTGTTTTATTGTGCTTATTCTGATACATCATTTAAAAGTATCCTTAAGGAGTACTCGAAATTTAGTTGCTACAACTATAAAATTATTAGTATCTTGTGGTAATATCCGTTAGTAGAAGATTAATTTTATCTCAAGATTATTACATCGATCACTTGTTCTGTAGCCAAGAATGAAAATAAATCATACAAATCTTCTTGGTCGTTGTACTGATCAATTAACATTGATTCGTCGACATTTGTAACTTAAATTTATAATTTTTGACTTTACTCAGTTATAATATTTTTCCAAGGACTATCCACGTCTAGTCGAAACGTCAACACTAAAATGAAAAAATTCTGAATATTGTTTTCCTCTGAATGATATATACTTTAGTTTGTGACATGAAACTGGTGAAAGATTGCTGACATTCATTGCATGGGAAGATATACCAGCTATTTATATAAATCAATTAATTCTATTCAAGGTTAAAATATTCTAAACATACTGTGCAGTATTGGTTGTGATTGGGATTCATATGCCATATCAAGTCACTACTTTGGTAAAAAGTTTGCGAGCACACGGTGCAGTGGTGAATGTGCTGAGTATTCATATGCGCCGTGAGATCGCTCTCTAGGACAAAAACGGCGGAACACACGGTACATCTGTGGTTGTGCTCGGAATCCATGTGCCATATAAGATCACCACTTTGGGTAAAATTTTGTGAGCACACGGTGCATTGATAGTTGGGCGGAAAGTTCATGAGGTCTGTGATATGACAGTCTTGGACGAAAGATTCCAAAGTTTCAGGCATGTGTTCGGAATTTATATGCCACGTAAGATCACTACTTCGGCTAAAACTTTGTGAGCACACGATGCATTGGTGATTGTGCTGAGTATTCATATGCGCCGTGAGATCGCTCTCTCGGACAAAAACTGCGGAACACGCGGTACAGCGATGGTTGTGCTCCGAGTCCACATGCCACGTGAGATCGCTAACTTGACTAAATGTTTGCGAGCACATGGTGCAATGATAACAGTGCTGAAGGTAAACGTGTTCCATAAGATCACTGTCGCGGACAAAAGTTTCGGAACATTCGGTGCAGGGGTGATTGTGCTCGGAGTTCATGTGCCTCGTGAGATTATCTTCTTGGTAAAAAGTTGCAGAACACACGGTGCATGGGTATTTATGTTCAAACTCCATATGCCACGAGAGATCCTCTTCTTCGTAAAAAAATTTGGAACATAGTGTGCAAGGGTGGTTGTGTTCGGAGTTCATGTGCCTCGTGAGATCATCCTCTTGGTAAAAAGTTGCAGAGCACACGGTGCAAGGGTGTTTGTGTTTGGAGTCCATATGATGGGAGAGATCCTTTTTCAGGTAGAAAATTTCAGAGCACAAGTTGCAGCGATGGATGTGGTAGGAGTTAAAATGCCTTGTAAGACCATTTCTGTGGGTGAAAGTTTGAAAGCACACGCTACAGGAATAGTTGTGCTTGGAATTCATGTGAATTGTAAGATCTTCACTACAAACAAATTTTTTCAAGCACACAAGGCAATGATTGGTATTGTATTGAATGGATGGACGTGCCGTGGAAGTGCTTTCAACCATGTTGGATTTTGAACACGAGGCGACGTGGCAGGATGACTCTTCAGCTGTACAAGAATGCATTTATATTGTAAGACATTTTCAAGTAAAAGTATATGCAGGAATCAATCTCTTACCTGAGTGAATACAGCAATGACTTTTGGAGTGTTTTGAATTAGAATTAGTTTTCCCGCATATATTGCAAGCGTTAGGGTTTGGCGGATTTCTGGACATACTTGAAAGCGATACTTCACCAGAGTAGCTTGTTGTTAATTTTACATTATTGTAAGGATAATCCTATAACTAGACGATGAGGATGATTAGTTTTTAAAGTTGACTTTCTGTGGGGAAAAAACATTAAATGTTATACAAAGTTTAAGTATTTCTTCTGTAAACTTTTGTCCTAATAATAATTAACATTTTAATGTTGAAACACAAACTAACCTTACAGTTTAACTTTCCAATCGTTAGGTGAAAAACTGTTGAATCAACCAAGCACTTGCCGCATACAATTGTTTTACTGAATGAATCACACATTGCATAATTAGTTCGATGATCGGTGTTTCACATACTTCATTGTAACCAATTCAAAAATGTATCGTGGAATTTTTTTTTTCAAAATTTTCACGTGCACGTACACTGTATACTATGTCCACTGTTCACCAAATAACAACGCTCACGAAATTTTTCGACAAGGCAGTTTCAATATCTACTGCCAATAAGTCATCATGAATTTCCATTTGAGCTGTTGAACATTTCAAAAATTACTGCGATGATGACGAATGACTATTAAAAGTGAAAGATATTTTTGTTGAAAAGAAAGATATCGTTTATGACGTTATAATGGGTATTTAATGAGCAGTCAAAGTCAGGCAGCGCTCAAGTTGGTTTCCTCATCATAACAGGAATATAGTTATAACTAATTAATATAATAAAAAATCTGCCTTTATTATATTATACATTTCATTAATATCATATGTGCTACTGTTGACGAATACCATCAATAATTCGTCTAGTTGGTAATATATACCATAGCTAATAATATTAGGGAATCATAAATTGCGACATTTTATCTTTTGTGATTTCCATGTAACCTAATTTTTCCAGCGTCTTACAGATTTAATGTCACGAGATTTGAAATGAGCCGATAAAATACCTATGGATGATTGGAGTGGAGGCTTCATTTGCAAGAGCTGTAAATGCTACTTACACGTAATATAATGGGTGGAAACCCTTTTAGAGTAATAGTTTCATTTTGTATACTGCCTTCCAATATCAAGCTTGAGACTTGACATAAAAAGTTGCATTTTTCAATCAATCAATATTCATGTTCTAAAATTGAGTTTGTTCATGTATTTGGCAAGTATGATAATTTTTTCGATTTTGTTGTGTACGTACAGCACTGATAAAGACAGTTCCTGAATGTTCTAGTTCTCATCAGCCCGCCATATTATTGATGACTAATAGTACACTTTCGAACTCGCTACACATACCTAGTTGTAGTAATATATTCATACGTAGAGTAGCTTTTACGACCACACAAGAGAAAACTGTATAGCTATAGACGTGGCCGTAGTGGTATCATAAGTAGTAGCGGCTCAAAATTTGACTTGTGAAATACTCAACTCTATGAGTATAGGTGTGTATAGTGCAGCAACTCTCCAGCTATTTCGGCCATTAACATTATGATTTCTCATCGTTTGTCCATGCAGTGATAAAAACGCTACTGAGACATAATAAAAATCAAGCAGTTTCTTCATAATTGATAGTCATTTCTATACGGCGGCTTACAGATAAAATAAGCTCAAGCGAGAAAAAAAAAAAAAAAAGTCACAGGATGCTACGTCCACAAATGAGTATATTATACAGTCTCGAAGACGCAGCTGGACCTACAGGTATACTTTATACATTATAAGGTATCTGCAACGCACGCAGTCGCATCGGTCGTCCACTGAACGGTCGCTCGCAAGCTCTCCTCTTCCTTTTATCATATAATATACATGTATACACCCTTGCTGGCTAAGCCCCTAAACTCCCCACACTATCTTGTGCTATAACCATATATATATACCAAACCAATGGCACTCGTGTATGAGATACACTCACAAGTACGCAATACATATATATGCACGCGCGCGTGAATATGGTATACGGAAACGAGGAGTAGGTGGTGTATATAGCTGGCAGCAAAGAAGAAAGAAGAGGTACCCCGCACTGGAAGAAAGAGCATTGCACACACGAAGTATAAAGCGACGAAAGGTCAAGGCCCTCAGCGCCCTACCCTCGGGGTCACGTGACGCGGCTCAAGGTCTCCTATCCCCACCCTAAAAGTTGCTGCAACTGTTCTCTTTGGGCTCTGATGCTTCGTCGGTGTTGAATCGTATACCCTAAATACGAGCAAATCTGTATAAAGTCCTTTCCGTTGTACAAGGGGATAAAGGGACATCCCAAATAAGTATACAAATTGATTTGAGTTTTTAGCGATTACAAGCAATCGTATTGATATCATTGTTAAATTACTTTAAAATCATCTAAGCGATACTTTAGAGGTATATTTTTTCGATGTCACATCATTTTCAGTCTTCTCCAATAATTTATTCTCGATATACCAATGATGCAGGTTTGGATGTAAGCGTATGTAAGGTTTGGTCTTTTAAAATTTCAAGTATTGCCAAATACGAGGGGTACATTCATGGTTTTGACAAAACCGTGTTTAAAGGGCATTATGGCACTGTAAAATACCTTGGACGTTTTTTAGCTGACAAGGTACCATATTTAGATCAAAAGAAAATATACAAACTTAAATTTCTCGCTAATCTGTAAGGGTGGGTTATATTATATATTTTTAGACACATCGAATCAAACGCAACCTTCAGTCACATGAATAATCAAAATTTGTCATTAATGCTTTGCTTGGACGTTTTTCCTTGAACCTTCCTTGGTTTTTAAGTGAATAATCTTTGAAAACTAGCACTTGAAACTACTTAAATGTTTTACGATATTTATCATTAGTAAATTGTTTTTTTTTTTCAAAGATGTTTTGTGGAATTATTAATGTATGTTGGTCTGCCTCTGTTGTTGCGCGTATAGAGAAACAACGACGCAACACAATACAATGACGACCATACGATGATGCGACGTAAGTTTTATAAGTACTCATGATGTATAGAGAACGGGCAGACTAAAAAATTGGAGTTGTTCTCGCTCGTGCATGTATTATACACTCGACGTTAGGTCAATGTCAGTTTTAGAGAAGAGGGAGTGTTTTTTCGTTTTTTCCTTTTCGTTTCAACGTGCGATGTCTTTGGCGTATGATCTGGTCTATACATGTGATATTGAACGTCGAGTTGAACGTGACTTATTTTGCTCAAAGAATAAGCGAAAATTTAGAAAAAACTTTGCTAGTGTGATTTTAAGTATATAAGCGTTGAAATACACGCGTCATATAATACTTCAATACAAATTAATTAATCGTAATGTCCACAGCGAAGTAAATAAGTATTGTTGTCGTTGTGATTGTTGTGTTATTACAATATTTTTTAATAAATTACTTCACATTTTGCCTGATGTGAAATCGTACCTCCGCATAATTCATGCATGCACTGCACAAACACACCGATGTATTTTTAATCGAGCGAGTGAAAAGATAGAGCGAAAGATCAGACACATTTTATTGCTTTCCACTTATCTCCTCCCTTTTCTCTTTTTGTGTCTGTAGATTCGCTATCTCTTTTAGTATTGTTATTATTATTATTATTATTATTTTTTTTTTTTTCATTTTTCCTATAGTATAGAATCAAGCATTCATTTATGCATGTTTGTAGGCATGAGAGAACGCGGTGACCAATAGCGGAAGAGGCCAGTAGTCCGTTTGGAGTGATTGTCGCGGTGGATGGACAGATTACCGTTTTAAGAATTCAAGTATCTTGTATGAATATTTTCCGGAAATCATATACTACGAGATTAAACTCATAAAAATAAACAGAAAAAAAAAATCTACTTTTTAAGATACATCTTAAATTTAAAAACAGAAGGTATGTAAAGATCTCTAGGAAAAATTTTTAAAAACTCTTACGTGTCGTGCTCTGTCAGTAATTTTAATTTGTGACCAAATTTTACTGTAGTGCGCTTTCAATCAAAACTAGTTAAAAAACTTTTTATCTTGTCTTGACTTACAGAATGCCATTCTGAAGTACGTAAATTTCTTTTTTTAATTTTCTTCTCTATTGTAATTTCTAGTATTCTTTTACTCACAGTTTACGGAAACTTTTAAACAAAACATTATTTATAATTTCTTACATCCGACAGAAATTTATTAATTTTGCATAAATAATATCTTACGTGCTAACAAAATTTATTACACATGCTTTCCAAGCGACTTCGATTTCAAATCATTGGATGAACGAGTCGAGTTGTCGATTGCACTCGTTTTAATGCAGCAAGCGATATAATAATGTGTTGTATGTACAGTACACGGTACGCTTTTACGTATCGTGTATTGTAATGTATGACCATCCGCCGAGAGAAAACTTTCTCTCCCCCGTATAAATCAACGTGCGATTTGCCAGCTATTATAGATACAAGCAGATTTATACTACACAGCATCGCCGAGTACGAGCTTCAAAGGAGTCAGATGAACTGAAATTTATTTCAAGTGATGAGCGACCCAACAAATCACGGGGGACAAAGTCTGGGCAGTATGTGCCTGTACATGTGCGTGAACCGTTTGAAAGCTTTTTTTATGATTTATTCTTTGACGCGTAACACGAAGCGAAGACGTTCAAGGGATATATATTCCACGTCATTTTTGAGCTTTTTTTATGATTTATTTATTTATTCGAGCTGATAGTCCCTTCCTTTGTAATGAAGTCGTAAACTATGCGCTCGTAGCTATATCCTTTGAAAATTTATGTACACAACATTTCGAAGCATATCAGACTGGTTGGACAGTCTTTTTTATTGTTCACGCATGGTAACAACATGCAACAGCAACGTGCCATTTTACATTCCATTATGTTGAATAATTAACATAAATTTCTGAATAATGTTCAAAATACAATGGTTTTTATTCAAATGTGTATATACAGTTGGATACTTTGCAAAACAACTTTATTAATATACAACATCAATGATGATGATGATGCTTATCGCAATGTACTTTTAACTGGAATTTTTCATGTGGAACTTCTGGTATGATTGTGCACTGAACATATAAATGTGATTACACGGTCATAAAAAAAGATGAAAAATGATACTACTAAATAAATTTAAGAAAAGTGTAGTGATTACGGAACATAAATGAAGAAATTAACATAAAACTTAGAAAAAAAATGAATGATGAAAAGAATGAACAAAAAAAATGGTTGCAGGTTTGTTCCATTAACAAACCGATCAACCAAATCCAATATGGAATACCAGTGAAAACGATGAGTAGTGCAGGTAAGGCACTCAAAAACCACGGCTTCGACAGGGGTCACAGTGAAATTAGCTTAAAATAGAAAAACTAAAAGAAAAAATAAGAAACTATATGCAGAAAAAACAAAAATGGAAAATTAGACAATATAAGAAAAATTTGAGAGGAAAAACGAAGTGAACGTAGCAGTTGAAATTGAAATCTTCGAAAAGAAATGGTCAAAAATGTGCAACAATTAATAAGCTAATAAACTTACAAGTAGATACGAAAAATTAGGTTTTTATACAATCATTATGACTATCGAGTTTTTGTGTGCAGATAGTACTCAATCCTACAATACTACCTCTATTAACTAAATTTTCTTGGTTCTTTTCTTTCTTCAGTAATTTTATTGCTATTCTCA